TCTGGGCTAAGAAGGTTTCTGCTGGTCTTGGACTGGATCGCGCAAAGGTACTTGTTAGTGGCTCTGCGCCCATTGATCCCAGTCTGCATCAATTCCTCCGCATCGTCTTCGGAACCAACTTCACACAAGGATACGGTCTTACCGAGACTTACGCCGTTGCACTCGTCCAGCACGAGGGCGACTTCTCCGCTGGCAACTGCGGTGGTGTTGGACCGAACACGGAGTGCGCTCTGCTCGACGTCCCTGACATGGAGTACATGTCCACCGATAAGCCGCACCCTCGTGGTGAGCTGCTGATCCGCTCTGCATCGCAGTTCAAGGAGTACTTCCGCAACGAGGAGGAGACTGCCAAGGCGATTGACGCCGATGGTTGGTTCCACACTGGCGACATCTGCTCCGTCGACGAACTTGGTCGCTTCAAGATCATCGATCGCAGGAAGAACGTCCTCAAGCTCGCACAGGGAGAGTACATCTCCCCCGAGCGGATCGAGAATGTGTACCTTGCAAACTGCAGCTACCTCGCTTCTGGCTACGTTCATGGCGACTCGCATCAATCCTTCCTCGTGGCCATCTTTGGTGTCGCGCCCGACATCTTCCCACAATTCGCATCCAAGGTGCTCGGTGAGAAGATCCCAGAAGGTGATATAGCTAAGTTGAAGGAGGTCTGCAAGAACAAGAAGGTCGAGCAGGCAGTACTTAAGGAGCTGGAAAAGGTGGGACGAAAGAACAAGTTCAACAGCTACGAGCGCGTTAGGGCTGTGCGGTTGTTTGTTGATCCTTGGACCATCGAAAATCAACTTTTGACCCCAACGTAAGTTTGACTTGACATACTACATAGACATCTCACTAACACTACGCAGATTGAAGTTGAAGCGCCCGCAAACCGTCAAGGCTTTCAGGAAGGAGCTGGACGACTGCTACGAAGAGGCACTGGCCGAGGAGTCGAAGGCCAAGGCGAAGTTGTAGAGAGCGGAACTGCATGTTTGGCGTCTGGCGGCCGTACGAGGATACCTAGACAGTGATTGCATGGTTGCTTTCCTAGCGCGCGGGTACTCAGGCACCCTGTGCGAGTCATGGTACCATGGAACTACACATAGATCGGTCGATTGAGTGTACAGTAGCGGTAATACTACAAAGTGAACATGTTCATCCGACCGCTGTGGAGATTTCCCGGCTGATGTGCTGGTGAAGGGATAAAAATTGCAAGCGGTGAACGACAGTAGACAACGTGTCACGGGCCGTGGTGGAGAGTAGCGAGCAATGAGTGGGTGCCAAGTCACGCATTGACAGGGTCCTCCTCACCTCGGAAGCCGCAGCCAGTAATTGTCGTGTCCGACGCTGCAACCAGCGATGCAACTTGTCGACTAATTTCTGCACAAAACAAACACGCAGGCTCCTCCGCTATACACCCTCGACCCTTCTCCGCCTTATTGCCGCCTCGCCGCTTCCTCGAGGCGCGCTCCCTTATCTCCACCACCTTACTGCATCTTAGCGCCGCGAGCACCCCAGACGGATGCCCATTACACGCGCAACGGCTCTGGCCATGAGCGACGACGCCGCCGATGAGTCGACACAGCCGCGCGCGTCTCGCTTCAAGGAACACACAAACACCAACGGCAGCATACGACCGCCGCCGGACGAGCTATGGAAAGACATCGGCATCGAAGAGCTGATCGAGCAGTTCAACGAGGAGAACGCGAAGCCGCCGACGTCGAGAAAGAGCTCTGCGAACCGCATGCCCCGCCTGGTCAAGTCGGCTTCTTCGAGGGCTGCTTCTGGTAGCGGGACCCCTACGGAATCCAGCTTTAGCACAAGCGTCCAGGCATCGGCAACCGCGCCGACAGAGACGACATATGCCCGCCTCCAGCGCGCGTTCGCTTCCATGTTCGGCAGTGTTCTGGGCAAGCGCAAAGCTGGGAACGCAGACGCGGAGCGGGAGAAGGACCAGCACCAGCAACTACTCGACCAGCGCAAGAGGGATGCCGAAATCGCCTACCATGAAGCGAAAGACCTGGGTCTTCTTCCTCAACCAAAGGTCTTTGTACGACCCGCTATGAGGTCGCGGCAGTTTGGTACACCATCCCAGCCTGTTGCCGCTGAGAAGATGCAGCTTGGCTTGACCGCAGCCATGGCCGAGGCAGCGACCCCAATCCGTACACCGCGAACGCCGACCCTCCGCCACACCCCCAGCAAGAAAGACCTGCACAAGCAGAAGAAGCTCACCAAGCGCGTCTCCGATCTCGAGTACAAGCTCGCCTCTGCGAAGAAGGAGCTCCAGACCGTCCTCTACAACGACATACCGCCCGTCCCACGCATCCCCGATTTCGCACCACCCACGCCCGACGTCACCCCGAGCGAAAACGAAGACCCGTCACGAAACACAACCCCCGTCGAAGTTGAGCCCCCCGCCAGCATCGGCAAGATCGTAAAGAAGCGCAAAGCCACCATCCACGACTCGGACGGCGAGTACAAGCCCATACCCACCGACTCCGAAGGCGACATCGACATGCTCTCCGCTGCATCCGCCTCTGAAGCCGAAGTGTCGGAGCGCACCGAGCGCAGTATAAAACGCGTCAAGAGCACCGCGAGTAAGAAGAGCCCTGGCAGACGGTCCAGCTCGAGGCTCACAAAGAGGTTCTCGAGGAGTAATCTGAAGAGCGAAGAGCCTGTGCGTGTTGTGCCTGATGGTAGGGATGTACCTGACGTGCCTAGTATACCGCGTGAGATGGAGAGCAAGGGCAAGAAGGTCAAGGTTGGGGATGATGGGTTTGGAGGGTTGGGCCATGAGATCTTTTGACTAGAAGATTGATGATATGCTTGGGAGATGTTGAAAAGCTTGCTTTACACGACGAGACTACTGGGCGTTTGTCGTATCATCAGCCTGGGAACATCTTGCATAGCACATGGAGTGTGCAGGAAAGGCGTTTGCTGGGATTTCCGCCCTCCTCACTTTTCTTCTCTTCTGGTCCTTTTTCTTTTCCTTTTTGTCATTTTCCATTTCCATCATCAGCGTCCCTCTCGACTATTCGCACTGTGTGCGGGACTGGAGTTGCTATACTTCTTGTATCTGTCTTGGTCAGAGATTTTGGTCTTTTCCTCATTAATGTCTGGAGCATTTTGTATAGGTATTGTCTATGCATGAAAGCGACGAAATTACGACTTAATAGCATACAATGGCATAATATCTATTCTTGAACAGGTCGGTGTTGGGTTGTCAAGACTAGGAAGCGTACTACTCGCATCTGGGGAAATGTGTTCTGAGACCGAGATCGGTAGCTTGTAAGACTATTCTGGTACGAGCGCATGTCTTAGCACTCTAGATCATTACGCTGCTGTAGTCGCTTGTCGTCATGCAAGACATAGTAAGACATGCTCAGACACATGTCTTTACGCATCGATAGCCTCAGACCGACTACGACCAAGAGCGATATATCTACCTTACCAGAGGCTCACATGCAAAGATACACACTGCAACAAGACACCAAACACATCATCCAACCAAACAAACTCAATCTACACAACATGCCCTACCACCCCGACTCAACATCCCGCGCCCTCTTCATAAGACACCACATCCACACTCCTACTACCCTGCAAGAAGTCATCTGCTCCCTCTGTCGTCAGCGTTGCACCGACCACCACCAAGTCGTTCAGATCACTGCACATCCGGAATGTCAGTGTGTGTTTGGCGAGACGTGTCTGCTGCAGTGGTTGAGATCTGGAAGTGCGGCGAGTGGCACTTGTCCGAGTTGTAGGGCTGTGCTGTTTAATAGGGGTGTTGATGATGATGAGGATAGCGATAGTGATGAAGATGGAGACGGAGATGAGGACCAGGATGAGGACAGCGAAGAAGGCGAGACTCAAGGCGACAATGCACGCGGACGACAGCGAACAAGACAGGAAAAGGGGCATCGCCCTCGTCGCCGTAGAACGCCTTCGTCTTCGCGCCCAATATCACGAGCATCCTCCTCAGCCTTTTCTGCCGTTGTCTCCGTCACAGCACCACCTCGCTCTTTCCACCGCCGTCGCCGCTCACCCTCTCCATCCCCATCTTCATCTTCATCAGCCACCTCGCATACCCTCTCAACCCGACCCACACCCACTCTCAACCTCACCCTGGCAATCGACACCCTAGCCACCGACCTCTGGGCCGGAACCTGGGACCTCGTAACAGAAAGCTGGTCGCTAACCCGAAACGACGCTTCGCGCTCACGTAGCATAACCCGCGCGCAGCTCGTCATGCTGGTGCGTGATGTCAATCCTTTTGAGGAGGAGTTGGAGGATGCGGTGCTTGAGCATCTTGTTTTGAGAGCGAGGAAGATGGTGGTGAAGCATCGGCGGAATGGGGAGTATGATGATGGAGGGGAGTTGAGGGCGGAGAGGGAGGATGTGAGGTTAGCTGTTGGGTATGGGGTGTAGATGGTCCGTGGGCGTGTTTGCTTTTGCGCGTGTTTGATCGTTGTACGTGGTCTAGATCTCGTGTGTAACTTTATGGAGTTTGCTTTTTTGTTATATTGGTTCCCGAGAGTGTTGTCACATGTGAATTCGAGGAGGGTAAGCGATAGTGGTCATACAGCAAATGTATTCTATTCACATAACCTGTCTAGATACTGCATCTGGATAACGAAAGCAGCAAACCTCACATTACATAGCGCCTATCAACTTTAATGCTTCCAAATACCCTGCACGAACGCCCGATTGACCCCGCAGAACCACGGCGGCTACTCCCATTTCCGAACCACGGACATGCGGGTCATCCGGTTGTGGCAGTCACGCCAGCCAATCGCAAACGAGGGATATAGTTCCGCTCCACCACCTCTTTCCCTCCCCCTGCTTGCGTGCGCCCCACGTCATCGATAGGCCGCAGTCTAGAAACGACAATGGCCATTGTTTGGCAGCCTGGCAGGCCTATATAGTCAAGGTGGGTCTGGGACTTTCTGCTGACGTGCGTGCTTGCATATTGTCTACCACTCCCGAGCGATAAGTACTTGCGGAATTTCATGTACGAACATAAACCCGAGAATATGGCCGACGAGAAGAAAGAACAGGTGAAGCGTGTTGCGGCGGAGAAGAAGGACCAGGCTGAGCGTATGGCTGCGGAGAATGGCATGTGAGTTTGTGGTGCTGTGAGGCCGAGATGCGATGGGTTGCTAACGGAGGAGTAGTGCTAATCCTTCGGGTGCGATGATTGCGGCTTTTGCGCCCATGTATCTCGCTGCCATACCTCTTACGTACGTCTTCTCGGGCTCTTGAAGCCGTTCGTTAAACTGGACTGGAACTGACTGGGTCGAATAGCTCCTTCCTCACAAAACCGAACAGCGTTACACAATCGCTGGTTCACGCGCTCATCAAGTTGATCCCTGGTGTCACAGTACGTTCATTCTTCTTCTACGCTGTTATCACACTAATGGCAATCTCCAGACAACAGCGATAACATCCGGTCGCGCGATCCCCGCCCTCTCAGCTCTATACATATTCTGGACCTTCGGCGCATCGGGCGCGCTCTCCGCAGCAGGACAAGCCATGGGACGCGAAGAAGGTCTTGATCTGGAACATTCGAGGAAGCATATTCACAAGCTCGATGGACTGCCACTGAGGCTTAGGAGTGCGCATTATGCGCTTATGGAGAACTTCCCTGGTAAGTCGAAATTTCTCGCAGTGCCCCCTGTCAGTAAAGATTGCTAACGTGGACGTGATTGCAGGCTTCGCCCTTGCTGCCGCGCTGGCGCAGGTCCTTGCGCCTCGAGACGCACAGATCGTGAACCTACTGGGCTACCATGTCATCGCCAAGTTGCTTGTGCATTACCCGTCGTACCTGAGTAACGTGGCTCTACCGAGGACTGCTGCACATGTCACTGCCACGGCGGCTTTGATCAACATCTGCTGGAGGTTGGCGGCTGGCAACTAGAATGGAAAGAAACTTTGAAGTAGTGTTGATTAGGTAGAGACTACTATCCGAAACTATCCAAGACGTGCCCATGGCTACCATCCTATCTATGCAAGGAAGCTCATCTTGCTACTAGTACCGCTCTTGTACTTATATTCCCTCTCATAGTAGTTCTGATCAACTACATCCTCTTCACCGAGGAGATCCTCACCTGCGAGAGCCTTGTCGTGCAGGACCATGGTTGCAACCTTCGACTCTCCCAAGCCGTTCTTACTGGCTACCCTGCGGATCTCTTGCAGAATACGATCCGAGAGCCGTTGATACATTGGGTCCTCAGGAGGATTGTCGCCTCCTGGGCCTTCCTTGGAAGAGCCACCATCGCTCTCAAACGGTTCGAAGTACGCAACGACCGTTTCCAGCTCAGAGAAGTTTGCCAAAACCTCGGCGTAGGCGGCAAAACGGTTGTCGAAGCCGGTGATCTGCGCTCCGGTAACGCCATGTATCTTCCCAGCGAAGCCGTCGTGCTTCCATGGTAGTCCAAACATTAAGTGTCGAAATCCCAGCCGCTTGAGGTTGGGACGGATAGCCAAGATTTTCTTCAGCATACCTACGTTGAGAGAGTTCGCCCCAAAGCTCAGATCACATGAGTCCAGGTCGGAATGGCTGGAGATCATCCGAGCCAAGTCCGGCTGCCAAGGGTTGAGCGAGACGACTTTGAGGTCTTTCAAGGTCGAGAATGAAGCGAGAAACGCCTCAAGACCGTTGGGATTCTCCTCCCAAAGCTCTTCAGCGTAGTCCCAGTTCTGCACGTCCAGCTTCTGAAGACTGACGTCAGTAGCCATGAAGTGTCTGAGGAAGCGGGGTAGCAGCTGGCAGTCATCCAGTTCGAGCCGGCGTATGCTGGAGAAGTTGATGCATGTGTAGGTATCCAGGGGAAAACCGTGGCCAAAGTCGAAGTGACCGAGGCTCAGATGCGTGATGTTGAAGCAGCGGATGGCGGGGGGTGGCGCAGGAGCCATGTTGAAGATGTTTGCACAGTCATGCTCGGGCCATCGCATCGACCATGCTACGGATTCGAAACCTTGTGCGGTCGGGAACCCAAAGGCGCCGAGAACTCTACGGAACATGTTCACCGACGTGCCTGTCTCTGAATTGCGGTGTGACATAGCCTTGTAACCGCCACCGTGCACCAGGAGTGCGTCTTTGCTTTCTCTTCGGGTAGGCTGGAACGTGTAGTTGACTGAAGAGTCCATCATACGGTGTGGCTGCGGGATAGAGTCACAAGCCCATGGAAGATACAACTCTTTGAGGTTTTCCTTCAGTGGCATCGAGTCGGCATCGAATAGCATCTGGAGATAGGTATCGACCTTGCGAGTGAGGGAGACGTCAGTAAGCCGAAGCTCCTTCAGCGGTACGTCACGGAGCTCCATGAGAAACTCAGCCAGAATATATCCGACTTCCTCATCGTTCGAAGCAGAGAGCGTCAGTGTTCGCGTCTGGTGAAGTTTCATCTGGTCCAGGGTACATGGCAGATAGGTATCCGCCATGAAGCTAGCGTCCTGACACGGGCTTTGGTCGATGTTGATGGCCACGTGTTGGTAGAGAGGGCGAGCAGCGGGAGCTTGAAGATATTTGCAGACCTGAGTGACGTCGTACAGGAATTGTCTACCTTTCTTTTCATGGTATAGCTGTATCAGTTAGCAGTGCTCCTCTGCGTTTCGCTCAAGCATCTGGAAACTCAAGTTCTTTACTTACATGCTCCATAACATTGTCTAACAGCTCTACGGGGAGCTTGAGCAGGCCTTGACGCCCATTGGTCGGCGTTGTGGGGGCTGGTATAGCGACAGGCGCGGGGATGGGTGTAGGAACAAGTGCGGGGATGGGTGTAGCAATAGGCGCGGGATCGTTCAGTTTTGGTTTCTTCGATACCGCATCCTCTGACTGCGATGAAGAGCGGGAGCGAGGACGCTTTGACGGAACTTGACCCGGACTCGCTGTGTCCTTGTTCGCTGTAGTATCGGGCTCTGCGCTGTCGCACTTGGCTCCTCCGGATGCGGGTTTCTCTTCTCCAAGTCCAATGGACGTGTGAGGGCGCTCCAGTGGAGCGAGATCGTCATTCGATGTCATCTTGCCAGTGATCTCTGTCGACCCGCGCGACAGTCGCCAAATTGATCCAAGAAGTCGGGAGGTGGGAGGAAGGTGAGGGGCAGGTGAGAGAGATCAAGTGAGAGAGAGATCTAAAACTGTGTCAACACCGCGACCGTTTGCAATATTGCGTCACCCACTCGAGGCGCGCTAACGCGCACAGTCGCCCACACACCCGCTACAAATACCGCTTGTCTCACCCGTTTCCTCTCTTTACTTTCTACCGCTTCGCGTTCCCAAGATCAACCGCACTCCTCAACCCTCTACTCAACCCTCTACTCACTCTCTACTCACTCTCTACTCACTCTCTACTCACTCTCTACTCACCCCTCTACTCATCTCTCTACTCACCCTACTCACCCTCTACTCACCCGCGCCACCCCATCGCGCTACATCGTAAGTGATCCACCAACCCATCTGTTCTACTAAACGTGCAATAGCCGCCTGGAGATACCCTCCAGCCACATCACTTCGCTCACCGGGTGGAAGCGTCGAGTCGGCATAATAGCCACCAAAAGGCTCAACTTGTGTGGAGGGGACCCCAGGCCAAGCCACAGAAGCTTTCAACAGTTTCGCCAGTGCGAGTTGATCTACGACCGGTGGTGAGCGACGGAGACGATACGGAGATCTTTAGAGGTCTACTTGGAGGCTCGCTGGTGCCTTTGAGGACGGTCGAAAACCCAGCCCCCGTTCTACCCTTACCCCAACGTCCGGCATTCAACATAACCGGGAGGGAAACGCAGAACACCTTTTTTTCATTGATACGATTGCTTTACGCCGTCGATCGAGGAAGAAAGAACATGGTGACATTCAAATGACGAGACTGCTGATTCACAAGTGTTTGGACCGGAGATGGCGAGAATGACCAATGGCGGGGTAACTGGAGTATGTCCGCATCATCAACACCGCTGAACATAAGAGATTGCGCTAAGAGTGAGCGCGAGGTCTTGATCTGAGGAAGAGAGACAGCACGTACATGATTTGGGGGAGGGAGCGCGCGGTCACAAGGCTGGTGCACTCGTCGCGATCGTGTTCACGTCCATCTACATCTAGCTACGTAGCGACTGAGACATGACTTGCGACTCGCAAGTTGAGTTTCGCGTGACGACAAATCATCACCATCGGACTCACAATCGCGCACCAGCAACGAAACGGAGCAGTTCACTTGCTGGACCCGCGTTTCTCGTGAACATGGACGCAAAGTGATAACGAACAAGTACAGGTTGACAAAACGACGTAGTGAAAGTATTTGACATGGAAGGATGATTGGAGAATGTGAGAAATGCGCCGGAAACCGAGTTTCGTGGCTATTCCACGCGACCACACATCCCCCATAGCGAGACCCTCTCGACAAACTCGGTGTCAAGTATCAAGATGACACAATCATGGGCTTTGGGGTTGAGGAGATTCGTGTTCATGGCGTGAAGGAACAAGTGGTAGATGTTGTCGTGCTGGGGTTTCGTGGCTGACGTCATATCCCCACACGAACCTGATTGGCTCCTTCCAGCCACCCAAGGTTTGCGCTGAAGATGGCAGCAAGCTGATTTCGTCGGTCGGCTGTGTTCTTTCCGGTCCGGCTTATTCATGGTAATATGAAGATGTATTCGCCCTTCGTCTCAGTGGCCGCGCGACTTCAACAATGCGATCGTCATAAGAGTCTCTCGCGCCTCTGACGCCTCTGTGTGACCTACGAGTGCTGCCGTATGTGATCTCGTTCTCAGGGTTTGCGCCGCGGATGACGAGTTCTGCCATGCCATCCTCGGTTGGGATAAGCTGCATGGTACGGCCCTCCAGGTCGCTGTTGAATTGCAGACTGAGCGGGGCACTTGAATTTACTTTCAAGCGAATCTCGTTGTTACCGTTGCTGATAACGGTGGCATCACCACTCTGCATCAGTGCGTTAATGTCTTTCCTTTCCACTTCGGATTCGTGCGGCTCATCGTCAGATGATGATACACTCGCCCCACGTCTTAGTGATCGCTGTACTTCAACAATACGATCATCATAAAGATCCATCCCTGATTCTCGTCTCGAACCACGTTCTTCGGGTTGGCGCCTGTCAGCCTGAGACGAAGGCAATGTCGGACCCGGCCCTGTGGGCAATACTCGCGTACTTTCGGATGTTCCGACTGATCTTTTCTGATCGACATTGGAGGCATGAGAGCTCTCGGCGGCCGGTTCGTTCTTGAATGCATCTTCCCTTGTTACAGCCAGCTGTTCCTCCCTCATCTGTTCAGCTTGATCGTTGGGTATAACATTCTCTTGTGGCCCCCTCTGCTTCACCCGGTGCTCCCACTCCGGAATGTAACGTGGAGGTGGTAAGGGCCGCGGAATTGCATTGCGTTTCGCCCCCGGAATCACCATCGCTGCATCTGCATGTCGGATACTAGACTGTTGGAATTGCGGCGATAACAAGAGCCCGTCACTGCCGTCACTAAAATCTGGCCCAAAGGCCTTAAGTGACCCGTCATTGGGAAAGTTATCATTCGGGAATGGACCACCGTCCAGGTCCCTAGCTTGGTCGTATCCGGTAACGTGTGGGAGTCGATTTTCATCAATCGGCTCATCTGCTTGGATACTTCGGTCGGATTCCGCAGCGGATCCAGTGATATTGGACGTCCTCGAAGCCAACATGGAGACAAGAGGTTCAACACGGTCAAGACGCTCTTCTTCTGGAAGGTTCATCTCTCTAGTGGTTTCTATCAGCGGTGGGCGGTTTACCTCCTTATCTACACCCAGGCTACTTCCAGTATGATAACCTTGAGTTGTGTGGTCTCTCCTGTGGGCTGGTCTCAATCCGGCAAGACTTTCGTTATAGGCTCTTAAACGTTCTTCCAATTCTGCATTCTTCACTTCTGTGGACGCTACTGTATCTTCCATTTTCTCCAGATTAGATTCCAGGTCCGCAATGTGAGGCTCTGCGATCTCTTGATGTGGAATTGACGGCGGCGGGTCCAATATCATTGAGGGTATTTCCCCGAGATTGACAGGTTTAGTGCTGTTTTCGCGAACGGTCTTGTCGAATTTTGTCGATGGTTCTGCGTTCGTATCATATGACCGTAACTTCTCCTCCGCGGCGACGTCCAGATACTCTCTAAGAGTAGGCTCCATGTCAAGCTCAGTAGCCAACGGAGGGCGGATCTGCTCAGGCTCACTCGCGTCTGAGAGGTCCACGTCACCATCTTCAGCAGCGCTCTTTGAACTGGGGTCGCTGTCATCGTCTCCCTGAACATCTTCCTGGATATCTTGTTCATCATCCTCGTCATCACCGGGATTTGCTGGGAGAGCGAAGAGCGCTAACTGTTGTTGGTGGCGGCCCAGATGCTTTTGCAAGGCCCGCAATGTCATCTGCTGACCACACAGCATGCACTCCGTCTTTACATTGAGGGTCGCATGTTTGGTTGAAGTACGCTTCAACGCGGAGAGCATGCTTGGGGCGGCCAAGTCTGAATGATGCTTTCGTACATGACTCTCAAAGCTGGACTCTGTTTCAAAAGTACAGCCGCATTCGTCTATGCATTGCCACTCAATCCGATGGGCTTCAAGTTCGTGTGCAAACCACGCTTTGCGAGAGTCGTAGAGTCGATCAGCGATGGTACAATGTTCGTAGGTGCAACAGTACGGGTGTAAGTCTCGAAACACGTGTTGTCTGCCCGAATTAGCAATGTGTAGTTCAAGTCGTGATACGTACTTACTTCCACTCAGCTACTGTGTGGATTGATACCAGAAGAAAGCAGAGAGGACATTCGAAGAAATCTTTCTCGCGAGCTCCTCTGGGCAACGTCGGAACTCTAATGGCGGCTTTGTGAGAAGTAGCGTAAGATGTCTGCGATGCCACATCATATCCCTCATCGAGCACTTCGAGACCTGACACTTGCTTTACGCGTGTTGCTTCAGTACTATTTGTTGTAAATTCTGTCGTCGCTTTCTCAAAGCCCAGCTTTTCGACGTTCTTACTGAGCTTTTGATGATGCTCTTCTCGGTAACTCAGATATTGTCTTCGCGCAGACAAAGCGCGTCCCAACCTCTCAATAAGGTAGCGTGGCGCATCTCGAAACTTCTCTGCGACATGTTGTATATCGTGTTGCTCATAAAAGGATTTATCAATGCTGATGGTGCTTGTTGACTGACTGTTAGGTGCCGGGTTGCGTATGGCTATTGAGAGGCGGAAGAGTGAGGTGATCACAGACTTGATGCCTGCCACGAGCTGAAGGAGCTCTGTTTTCTCTTCCAGGTCAGCATCTGAGCTTTCCCCATCGGACACGATCGAGTCAGTATCGGAAGCCGATAGCTCGTCCCAAGGTCTTATCTCGTGCTTTACAATCGAGAGTGCTATCAGCATCAGTCCATGCCACAAGTCGTAGATAGTGCTAATACACACCGTCTCGCAAAGCATCGGACAGGGCATCAAGCTGACCATGAGTCTCCGATTTGAGATGAATGGCATCTCGAAGTCTACACGGTGTGCATTAGCCGTGTGCTATGAGCAAAGTCAATCAACAAGGGATTGGAATTTACCTGTACTCCAAGCTACGACGGCCCTTGCGATGCGCTGCGATGTTTCCTGCCCACAACTTGAATCGAGAGAATTCGTCTACGATCACTGCTGGAGGAACTTGGGCAGCGAAATGAGTATCCGCTTCCAATGCATCAGCAAGGCCCACAAAGTCTTGCGCGAGATGATCGACTCTCGTCGCGATGACAACATCGACTGGCGTCACTGTCGTCAAGCTCATGATGCCAGGTGGAAGGAACGTATGCTTTCTGTATGTAAAATGTGAAGAGGAGGCGTCGATGTCTTTCCGAGGAGGACTCTGCAGCCTGCCCGTGCCTCACCAGGAACCCCGCGACCCCGCTTCGTGCTACCTGCACCACATCCCTCAACACACATCGCTCAGTCGTCGATGATCATCATCAGACCTAAACTCGCGTTTTCGTTCGCTCATTCGGCTCTCTTCTCTACCCCAATACCACCGAGTATACCTTACATCGAACTTCGCACACCATAGCGGACCTAATTCAACTTCCATTCAATGGCGACGGGTATCGAGGCCGCCGGTCTTGTGCTGGGCGCTGTACCTTTGATACTTGCGGGTTTGCAATTCTATGCCGAAGGAATCAGTGTGACAAAACGATACTGGAGGTACAAGAGGGGTGTCAACGAGATTATGAATGAGCTGAAGGTCGAGACTGCTATGTGCATTAACAGCATCAATATACTGTTATTCGGGATAGTCACCCCTAAAGAGATGGTTGGGTTTCTGAACGATCCACGAGGCGCACGTTGGAAAGAGGAGAAGTTCGATCGAAAGCTTCGCGCGAGGCTAAGAGCGAGCTATGACCCGTACATGGCAAGCATCCACCAGATGGTGATCATAGCTGAGAAGTTCAAAGAGCGATTGAAATTGGACGATGCGGGAAGGCCTCAGTTTTCCGAGAAAAATGCATTCAAGGAGCATTACGAGCGTTTGAAGTTCAGTCTGAAGAAATCGGACTACTCGGAATTGATGGAACGGTTACGACGCGCGAATCTGGCCCTCGATCGCTTGACGAATCAGACGACGTACATCGAGACCCACACACCGGATCGTCTGTCAGTCCCGGATTTCGGCATGATCAACGAGAGAGCAGACAGCTTCCACTCCGCGCTGAAGGCAGGCTGGAATTGCCCGTGCTCGGCGCACCATACCGTCAGTCTGCGCTTGGAGGCACGCATCGACGCCGTATCGAGTGATGAGGATGAGGACGATGATGCGCATATGATGCGTGACCCATTCCACGTTCTTTTCCATTACAACAGGGATCATACGACTGAGCAATCAAGACAGGTTGGTGCTTGGTCCTGGGAGGAGGCGGATGTACGGGTCGATCCTATTCCAGACACTACACCGCATGTCCAACAAACTAGAGGTGTTCGGTTTGCAGCGCAGAATATGCAAAAGGCTGTGCAGGCAGCATTAGAAGCACGCCCGAACATGCAGCCCATAAAAGACTTGTGTGCTGCAATTTCGGAGCTCCAGAAACCACAGCGCGAAGTTTGCTTTTCTTTGCTTGCTAGCGAGATCGCGAAGCAAAAGTACGGTGTGCACATATACCCAACGAAACAGATGCCTCTCGACCCTGATACATGGTCGATTTCTTCGCTACACATGAGCTTGAACGACACAGATTTCGCTCGTCGCGATCGCTTGAAATTGGCAGTCACACTTGCTTCGAGTGTTTTGCAGCTTCATGAAACCCCATGGCTTGATCAGTGCTGGGGTAAAGACAGTATCTTCTTCGTGAAGCGACCCGGAATGACCATGTACGACCAGCCTTTTGTGTCATGGGACTTCAGTCGTACCACACCACCTGCGGAAGCTGGAATGCCCAAGTCAATGAATCACATCATCCGTAATCAGCCTTTATACGCGCTTGGTGTCGCGTTGATAGAGCTCTGGTATGGCAAGCCTCTTCAAGAACTTTGGAAGGATGAGGATGGGCCTTTTGATACCGGTGTACGACAAGTCGATATCCTGACTGAATGGAATACCGCGAATCGACTTGTAGACCATCTATACAGCGAAGCTGGTCGCAGATATGGCGATGCCGTTCGGCGATGCATCCGCTGTGATTTCGATCGAAGAGCTAATAGTCTGGATGACATTCAGTTCCAGCGAGACGTATACCACGGCGTAGTATCGCAGTTGAAAGAGAACTACGAGTACTTGTTTTAGCACTAGTCATACTCAGCTTAAACTTCCATCGTCATCTTCAACCAAGAGCATAAGCGTCGCTATCGACGACAAAGGTTTTGACTGTTTCCCAATCTAGCCGAAAGCGAGCATGACCACCCGCGAGTTATATATTACCCTGTCAATCAGCTTGAGTGCCAGATGCGGGTTGACGCAAGCTGGGCAATTGCATGTTCGGTAACGCTTCCACAGAGGCGGTAGCGTAGCGAAAGAAGACTATGCAAAAGCTCGTATGAGACCCTGCTGTCCCTCAATGCATGACTGAAGATCTTCTCATGTTGGTGAGATTAAGTAAATGTTGGAACAAAGAAGAGAGTATGGTCGGGCGTGGAACAGGCAGGAACGCTTGTAGACTCACACATTTATGGCTTCTTTGCATCGCAGTTCCCTTTCAACCTCATCAGTATTTCAGTATCGTGGGTCTGAGCACAGAGAGAACGATCTTGTGGAGCGCTCTGCGACTACCGCGGAGCTACACCGAGAGTCCGGGAAGGAAAGGGCGGAATCTTTTCGCCTTCCCCCTTGCGCCTTCCAAAGGTGGCAATCGATCGTGTCGCCAATCGCGAGGCTTGTCAGTGTTTGCCTCGTGCCAGCGGAACATAAATTGCAGCGGTTACCTCCCCCGAGAGTTTTCTTCTCCACACTTCCACCCTCAACTTGTTCTCTCTACTGCCGCGCTCTTAAACTATAAAACTTCTCACGAACTATAAATACAAAAGACAATATATCTATCGAAGTCATGTACTACCAGCACGTTATCTCTATTCTTCTTATCGTCGTCGGCATGGCGTTTGCGGCTCCCAGTCCGCACATCGGCATGACCAATAACGACAACGTCCGCGATGTCGGCGCCGTGTACTCCCAAGCAGAGTTCTCGTCCGCGCCTACGTTTCTCCTCATGGACAAGCAGAGCCCTAGGTGTATTCCACTGTAATTGATCTCACCAATTTTCTCATCATAGTCACTGACACATCGTAGCAACAACGACGACATAATGTCAATCATGATCTGCGTCGAGTCCATTGAGTGCAACTTCTGGAAGGTAAGTCTTCGACACGCTTGAAACTCGTGATAAAGACTAAGAAGCAAAAGAACAAGGACTGCGGCGGCTCCATGTCGGACGAGGAAGCCGCCTTCACCGTCGGTTGCGGCGACGTCCACAAGCTTCCTCTACCACTGACTGGCACATACGGCTCCTACAAGTGTCAGCATGTACATCTCAACACCTACGAGTCTTCGAGCACTGTTAGGGTTGAGACTACCCCACACGACCCAAACAATGATGTGCTAGGTCAGGTATGTACTCGCATTATCTTCGATGACACCAATCATTCACTGACCTTCCATAGTAAACCCTGCTTCCGTCGACTAATATCTCGGTGTCAGTGTGACTATACTATGTTTGGATCCGTTAGTCTTACGATGATGGTGAAATTGATCTGTTGATGGCGGTGGTTCATCTCTGCAGGCCCTATTTTGCATAAACTTGATGGCAGCCATGGATGTCAATGAGTGGTGGACCAATAGCTTATGGTTTCAAATGTTGGCAACAATCTCGTCTAAAGAACCCGAAATCCTATCTTCATCTGTTCAGTCTTTGACCCATGCTTCACGGTGTTACGGCGGCGTGGAAGGTCTTAATGACAGCCATGCCGTGTGATGACCTGAAACAATGCTGTTCCGAAATTACTTTGCGCATGCAAACTGACATCACGCATCGAATTGACTGCATATGCGGTACATTCTGGACTCATAGGCAATTGCCATCGTTGTTTCACATCAAATGAGACATATTCAAGACCGCCCGCCCCTTCATATATGGAAAAATGGATATCATAGCTCAGTACTCCGACGCGTTGCGCTTCTTCCCAATTGCATGGTCTCAACACCTCTAAGCCTTTGACTTCTGACCCATCAGCGGTATCTGCATGCCCTCACTAAGCTGAATCCTTGGGCCTGGTATCTCGCTCATTTGCTCTCTCTTTGATGTATCACCAAGCTTCTTCCACATGAGTTGCAGCATAATGTGCCCTGGCGTGATGCCGGTCTGCTGCGATCCCCAACGGAACTGCCATAGTGGAAGAGATTCGTTGACAGTAGGGGTACGCTTAGCATCATAATAGCATGCTACATCTCCGAAGCAGAGGAAGACGTACGGGAACCCGGTCTATATGCGCATTAGCAACGTCTCCTGGCGAACCAAGTTGGGAACAGTACGTACTATAGTGTATAGCTCGTCGTAAATGTCAACGTTGCGCTCCGTACACGTCCACGCATAATCCCCCTGCCCGTAGTGACTGTCGACGTTCTCTTCTTGACTATTGTCTTGGAATGTGCAGTTGCCATTGTGAGTGCTAAGAGTATAAGGGTAGTCATCCATGCGCTCGAATATCCCGCATTCTTTCCCGCTCCCACTGTCATGGACGAATTTGCCATGCGCATTCAGGCATCCTACACTCGACTCTGGGGTTGCGGTGCCCCAGTTGTCGGATGCCAAGACGTAGATGTGACCAATGCCGCTGAAGTCTGTTTGTTGAATGCCAGCGTATGAAGGTAGAGCGAGCGAGGTAACGAGCAGGAGAAGCGTGGTGGGGATGTTGGCAAACATGATGCGCAAGCGTTGGTTTGCGTTCCGAGAGAAGAGAGACGAGGATGCAAGCTTTCCAAGGTTCGGCCGGCAGTGTCGTAGCGAAATGAATCCTACTCTGGGGGTAGGAAGTATCCGGGCTCTTTATGTTGATCGACCGTAGCACAGCTCAGGCGTACCGTGCCACGCTATACAACAAAGAGCGTGCCTGGCAAACCCCTCGCGCCGTCTCTCTAGGATCAAGCACTAGGCTCCTTGGTGGGGAAGAGACACGCCCTTGCGAAACCTACCCCAAGAATGCTGCGGGATAGATTAATTTCCCCAGGAAACCAATTTCGGATCCCCTCCTCGTGATGACGGTAGACAAGCTCGCTTCCCAATTTGAGGAAAACGAAGTCTAGATACTTCGACGTTGGCGAATAGGCGAGAAGGAAATAATCGCATAGCATACGGCGTGACCTTGTACTTAATATCGAACGTTGGGTCTTAATAGCATCGGGACGAATGTCGCGCGTATAGGACATCATACTAAGAGCTGAGGAATGGCACAGATATGCACGGGTTTACCAAGGTGGACGCACCACGTGCCCAATCACAAGGAACATGGCGAATCGTTGACAAGCAGAGAGATGAGGGATCGAAGGATCAGGCGTGGGGCGGACTTAGAGCTTGTTTGATTTAGCCAGAAATGCCGAAGCAGATATGTCAGAGATCTGTAAGCGCAGGCTGTTGAAGAGCGGACGGAGATATCAGCGGAGGGACATTTGGGAAGCGGCGAGAGTTGCCGAGGCGCCAATCGAGCTCGGACTTGGATGTCGCGCGCAAGCGAGGTATGGCGAACAGCTGAAGTTTGTGTCCTACTCGTTCCATCATCTACATGTATGACCGATGCCACTTCATGGTTTGAAGATGAGTACGAATCGCGTTCGACCGCATCTCATACAAAAAGTGGCAACAGCTGGACAAGAGAAAATCAGACAACGGCGATCCCGACCCCGCGAGCGGCCCAATTGAACCCCTCCGAAGACCCTCAAACCCCGAACCAGTTCTTCCCTACATCACGACACCGAAGTCCGGGATGATAATGGCGAATGCTGGCCACTCCTGTCGATCTCCCGCAAGATATCCACAAGCTCGCACATCATCTCCGCTGAACCCAGCTTAGCGCTTTCGGCAGCATTACGCATCACTCACGAAGTCCGGAATAGCGCCTTCTCCTGGGATGATCAAAGCTAGTTCTACCGACTGCATCTGGATCTTGGCGACTAACTAGGCTAAACTACGAGTTCACGATACTGGCGGACGGGTCTTAAAAGCAGCGCATATGATGCGTTTGGCGCCTAAATTCTTATCAACAAGAACATCTTTTCGTTCCAGGGCGCCACCATGTCAGCCATATCATGTAGGACTACAGCCGTTTTGCCAGCCAATCCGTCACCTAATGAACATGGTACCATGTCGGTGTCCTTTTCAACAATGCATCACCATAACTGCGCCTTCCGCTTAGTGATAGAGAGGTGTACGAATCTGTACGTCATTGATATAGGTAAAATTAGGGCACTGCATGTGAGATAAGGATTAAGTGTGGTGGGTAGAATATCGTACGTGGGCGGCAACAGTAACGAGCTCTTTAGCTATAGGGACACGCAATAAGTTTGCTCTCGAGCCGAAGGCTAAGATGTAAGTGTCACATCATACTAGGGAAACACTAAACACCCTGGAGCCTACGTCGCTGTCAGGCCACCTGCTTTGCACGTTTTTATCTTGATGTAGGCCCCAGGGTGTTCGTTTTTTCCCTTGAATGGGGTGGTGTTTAGAGCCAAAGAACCTTGCGGCATGGCGTTGGGAGATGTACCGAGTTTGATGAGTGCGGACATTCGCGAGGTGCGCCGCAGAGCTCCTTAGAAAACTGTGTGACTTTGGATAAAGAATTCGAATAGTGTCACATTGAGAAAGTCTTGTTCATTTGGAAAGCTTATTGCACTCTACCTGGGAAGAATCTAATGTCCACGCAGAGCTACAAGGAGGATAAGCCTAGCTAGAACCGGCTCGATAGAGCTTCTATCTTCGGGCCTAATCTTGGTGAAAAATAGGGCTCCATGGGATCCTGCGTCTCGAAATCTTGCGAGGGAAAAGATGTAGAGTACTTTGGAGAACGCCATACTGTTTCCAGACTTTATGGTAAGAATATGCGTGCCTTGATGTAAAATCTGTAAGGCGATCAAGGGTAGACTGTTGCTTCTCTCATCGCATGGGGCACGCGACACTCCCGCTTTTGCTCTCCGAGTACCTTTTGACGAACGCAGTCTAAGCAAATGCCATCCACCGCATCATAAATCTTGTCGAGCTCGGCTATAAGCGTAGCCTTAGTGTATCGAGCAACAGACTTGCAAGCACAGTTCGGGGTTGTGCAACTCGCATAAAGAGGAGGTGACTCAGGTACGGCTCTAAGCTTGGACTTGATGACCAAGACCGAGCACTGATTGACGGGCCAAAGATCATTCCGCCTGAGACCGAAGATAAAAGTACTCAAGGCCTGCTTTGAAGCAGCACAAAACTCGAGTCCCGTAACGATCGAAGCGAATGCCGTGGTAATTCGCCTCTGATATGAAATTTGACGAAGTAGTAGGTATTCGAACACCTCCAAAGGTAGGAACTCGTGACCATCTGTGGCTTTTGTGACGCTGAGGATCGCGGTAGGGTCGCGGACCAATCTCTGAGAGACTCTGAAGAACTCTCTCGGCAACTCGAGGAGATGTGTGGCAAGAGGCATCTTTTCGAAATCTGCAGCTTCGAGATCTTCGAGAAGGGCGCCAATCCAGATGATAGCCCATGAACGAACCACATTCGCGCAATCGTATTTGTTACAACAAAGCGCAATTTTGGACAAGACGGTGGCGGCGAGCTTGAGGGGAAGTTCCGCAGTCTGCATGTGTGCGATCTTACAGATCATGATGATGGACTCAGGATCGTCATCTGGAAGCGGGACAGTGCGTGGTGAAGCCGGCGAAAGATTCTGGCCCTCAGAGAAGCGGCCGTCGAACATAGCCGCAAAGACTGGTGAAGCGAGGCCGAGCACCACGGACGAGACGAGGATGTTGCGAACTCCTTCTCCGACTCCGTCTTGGCCCGATTGGAGTATGACATCGCCTCTTTTTGCAACGACCTCTGCGTTGCCTCCGCTTTTCGACATTGTGACAGCGCCTGTGTTAACGTCAGTAAACAATTCTTACGATCAGGTTAGTGATCAATCACCTTCAGACGTGCGCTTCCGTGGGATAGCCAGCGTGAAGACTTCGCCTTCTTTGAGACCGTGGTAGAACGACAACAACCTCAATTCGCGCCCGATTGGAAAGTGTCGGGTTCGGAAGATGGAAGCAAAGACGGTGGTTGAGAGGGGGTCGCGACTGCCCTCTGGGTCGCGACTGGAACCTGGGCTTATTCGCACTCACCTTCACTTCCTTTATGGCTCGCACGCGTCTTGGGCAAAGGAACAAGCCGATAGAATTACCGAGTGATAAAACAGTTCAAAATCAGCAAACTGAGATATTGTGATGAAGCGCATCTTCCATTCCGTTGCGGTTTCTGTGCGCCGCTACTTGACGTGTTTTGAAGTGCTGTCGCCAGTCAATTGAGAATTGTTTAGGACTACTCATATGTTGAAGCCAGATCAACGATCAATATAGTGCACCGAGAGTTACCATAAGCTCTTCCACAGATCGTCTGACCTTGGGATGGTGTTGCGGCATCATTGCCTATCCAGCGCCCACCTCACAACCGCCACGATCGTTAACCTATGGAAAGTCTGAACAGGTCTGGAGCCTACATCGGCGTTGGGGCATCTACTTTGCAGGTTTCCATGTTAATGTAGGCTGCAGACCTGTTCAGCTTTTCCCTTGTATGAGGTGGCAATGTGAGAGTTCTAGACAACCTATTGGACGACAGGAGGGCTATGATGAAAGCAAACGCCGATCTTGTGGCACGAAGAGGTGATGACTTGATCTTCAGCTGTGATGAAAGTGATCGAGAGGAGACGGAGCTGCCGGAGAAGTTGTGTGATCAACACGACGATAGGCAAGAGCAGGACTGGATAACTAAGTCTTTTCAATCACGGAACTTAACTCGATGAGATGTCGGCGAGACGACACAATGACACCATCGGGTCCCTCAGCTACATCGGGAGAAGGGATGCGTAGTGTCATTCTGTGGATGTGGTGGGGTACCTGGAAGCTGGAAGCTGGAACTACCGAAACGCGAATTTGGCGCGCGCGCACCTTCCGAGCGAGCTTCGGCCGAAAGATAAGAACGATCTCCAGCCTGCCGCCGTCTAAACCGAGACAAAGCCCCTGCGCCGACCGTCGCCCTGGCTTCCCGCGAGTTTTGTCAGACGCAACGGCGACATCTCGCATCCGCAGACTGCGAGCTTGAACCGCTGCAGCTCCGCATTTCCTGTGCTGCCGCGGACAAAGTACAAAGCGGCATCTAGATTGCTCGGACGCAAGCCCACTTTCCTTGGATTTGCCATCGCTAGCACGGGCACGACCTTCCAGAGATGCTGTGGGTGTGTCGTCCGAGCCCACAGTTCTTTCTACGCAAGATGCATTTTCCTGTGGTCGCATTGGAAGCTGGAACCCAGCGAAAGCCCTGCGGACAGCCATTCGAACAACACTTCATCACGACCTTCGGGCCTCTGAGAGTCACAATACCAGCTCCGTAAACCATATTGATCCTTCCACAATGCCGAATTGAAGCTATTCGGGAGCTCTCCATATGGAGCTTTAGCGTACGCCAGTGAAGTGCCACTCCCAGGCCTCGATTTACGTACATTCTTGCTCGATCGGGTCAAACGACCACGCGCTACTGGAGCTACCGTGTTGACCCACGCCCACAGACTACGCTACGGGCTTCTCGGCGAAGCTTCGTGAGTATCAAACGGGTAAGCAGCTGGTAGAGCTCCCCTGGCGCGTCTGTGAGCTGATTCGCGCCATTGGACGCGACCCCGCACTATCAGCGATGCGAAGTAATTCCAAACACGACCGTCACACCCGTCACACCCGCAGCGACCACTTGTCTGTGTGGGAATGTCGCATCACCAAGTGGGGATGACCGACCTCGTCTGCCTGGTGACCCAGGGATCAGAGGCTGAAAGTAGTGAGAAGATCGTGCGGCTGCTCGGCGGTATATAAAAGCCCCCTCACGAACCCCTCAATTGCTCTCACAACACCAACATTGTCCAGTGTAGCATCCGGTCTTCCATTTAACTTCTCTACCATACACCGACGTCACTTCGGCCCGCAAGAGGTATACCGACCCACGCACCCCTCACTTCCCCCCTGCCGGGACGATAGGCTGACATACCTTGCGTCAGGAATACGTACCATTCGTTGTACCTTTGCCGGCTTCTACTATATATCTCTCCCTCGGAGCCTCAATTGTTCTACTATCAGTTCAATAAGTCAAAATGGTATTTCTCCGATCTGCTTCTCGCCTTGCGCGCCCTGCCTCCTCCCTCCTCAGCGCACGCGCCGGACCTCGATTAACTTCGTCGCTCCGCCAACCGAATGCTTTCAGAACGCTGACCGCGACGGCTTCACAACAGGGCAAAGTTCTTCTCGTCCTCTACGATGTAAGTGTCTATGTACTCCCAATGCGCGTTGGCATGTCTAACAACGACACTAGGGTGGTGTCCACGCTGAGCAGGAGCCTCGCATGCTCGGAACTACCGAGAACGAGCTAGGCATCAGGAAGTGGATCGAGGAGCAAGGCCACGAGCTCGTCACCACCTCCAACAAGGAAGGCGAGAACTCCGAGTTCGACAAGCACCTTGTTGATGCTGAGGTTATCATTACCACTCCGTACGTCAGAGCTACCCCGCAATGCCGCTAAGCGCCCCACATGCACGCGTCAAGCTTCGGCCGGACGCGCTAAGGCTGCAAACACCATCCGAGCCAGCATCAGCTAACAGATCGCGATCAACAGCTTCCACCCCGGTTACCTCACCGCCGAGCGCCTGGCCAAGGCTAAGAACCTCAAGCTTGCCGTCACTGCTGGTATCGGATCTGACCACGTCGACCTCAATGCCGCCAACAAGACCAACGGCGGTATCACCGTCGCCGAGGTTACTGGCTCCAACGTCGTCTCCGTCGCCGAGCACGTTGTCATGACCATCCTGACCCTTGTCCGCAACTTCGTCCCCGCCCACGAGCAGATCGCCAAGGGAGAGTGGAACGTCGCCGAGGTCGCCAAGAACGAGTACGATCTCGAGAACAAGGTTGTCGGTACCGTCGCTGTCGGCCGTATCGGTGAGCGTGTGCTCCGCCGTCTCAAGCCCTTCGACTGCAAGGAGCTCCTCTACTTCGACTACCAGCCCCTTTCCCCTGAGAAGGAGAAGGAGATTGGCTGCCGCCGCGTCGAGAACCTCGAGGAGATGTTGGCTCAGTGCGATGTTGTCACCATCAACTGCCCGCTCCACGAGAAGACCCGCGGTCTCTTCAACAAGGACCTCATCTCCAAGATGAAGAAGGGTTCATGGTTGGTCAACACCGCCCGTGGTGCCATCGTCGTCAAGGAGGACGTTGCCCAGGCTCTCAAGGATGGCCACCTCCGTGGATACGGTGGTGACGTCTGGTTCCCTCAGCCCGCTCCCAAGGACCACCCGCTCCGCTACGCCCAGAACCCATGGGGCGGCGGCAACGCCATGGTTCCTCACATGTCCGGTACCTCCATCGATGCCCAGGAGCGATACGCCAACGGCACCAAGGCCATCCTCGACGAGTACTTCTCCGGCCGTGAGAACTACCGCCCAGAGGTTCGTAAAAATTTCTAGAGTGCATTTGAGACATAAACTGACTTTGATTTACAGGACCTTATTGTCCACAAGGGCGACTACGCCACCAAGGCGTACGGTCAGCGCAAGTAGAGGAGCGATCTTCTTCAGCAGCCTTCTGTCTTCTTTGAGCGATTTGGCACGAATTTCTTTGTTTAGGCTTGGGCGTCGAATGGGTATTTCCGCCTACCTATGTACATGAATATATCCACTTGAACTCCAACTCCAACTCCAACCAATGATGTGATGCATGAGAAAGTTCCAAATTGTAGGCAAAGTGATGTAAACACCTCATACGAAAGTTTGGACACCTACCTCCTAGAAGTCTACATTACCTCAGGGCTTTACATAACTTCAGCTTTTATGCTAATGTAGACGGCAGTGCAGTTGTTCGTGTTTTCTTGTATGAGGAAGGGTACTATAGAAATCATCGATGTCGTGACAAGGACCGCCGCCTCTCGTCTTCATGCTCATCTTCACTGTCATCCTTGAAGCCTTCCTCCAGCTCACGTCCTAACCGCCGTTCTTCCTCCATGATGCTGCGGCGTTGTTCGAGGGCTTCTCTTCTCCTCTCATCGATGGGGTCAAAGCCCACCATGCCCTCTCCCTCCTCGTCGTCAAACAAGTCATCGTCGTGTTGTCCGCTCCCGTCCACAATCGCGCGCTGTCTGACCCACGCGGAAGGCGCGAAGAGGTTGTAGAGGGCATCCGAGAGGTTCGTCCGCCAAGAGGACGGGAAGTCGGTCACGCTCGCGGGCATAGGCAGGTACTGGCTATAACGGCTGCAGTGCCGGCGCACAAAGGGCAGCACGAGGAAGACTAGCAGGACATAGAGGAGGGCAGCGAGGAAGAGTGGTACGAGGATGGTCTGGAGGCGCATCGTCAGCCTCCACATGGGGTTGGTGTGCGCGGTGGGTCGCGTTATGCGCTCACCGCCCAAGCTTCCTGTACGTGACAGCTGTCACTCACCTTGAGGAAATGGGTAAAGCCGGCCATGGCTGTGGATGCATGTGCTAGTGAAGGTGCGTGAACTGGCGGAGCGCGTCCTTTTGATCGCCTCGGGCTGACGCGAGGCCGGGGCTGTTAGCCGTGGGTGGTGGATGTGGACAGCAGACGTGGTGTTGAGACGCAGTGCGCCAGGCGTGAGGAAGGTGCGACGGGCGAGTGTGCAGGTGCTGTGCCTGCTGCGCCACAGACAGGCGGGATGTACTGGATGTGCCGGGAATAGTTACTGTCGATGTCGAGGCCGATGGGAGGACGGCCGTCGCGTAGGCCGGCTAGGGGTTCGTCTGGGCATGGATGGCAGATGGCGCCACAACACGGACGTGCGCACGTCTCAGGAGAACGTCGGAGCCAATGCGGCCATG